CTTCCAGAGTCTCGTCACGACATGGCCGCCATTTCAGAGTCTGCTCACGCCACGCCGGAGTCCCCGGCCAAGATGGCCGCCATGCCTGAGTAGGACGCGAAGCTTGGGCCAAGACTGAAAGGTCTGATTGCTAGTGTGATGGACCCACCTCTGATGTCGGTGCGAGCTGCAGGCATCCCGGTGACGTCAGCGCTCTCAAGCCCCGCCGTCTTAGAGGTCCTGCCACACTCTGCTGCCCTTCCTGTAATGGTGGTCACCATTTTGAGTGTGTGGGCTGCACACTACGCTCCTGAGGCCTCTTCTGTCCACGAGTCTGCTCCTGAGGCCTCTTCTGTCCACGAGTCCGCTCCTGAGGCCTCTTCTGTCCATGAATCTGCCTCGGAGGCCTCTCCTGTCCATGAATCTGCCCCAGTGGCCTCTCCTGCCTATGAGTCTGTCTCAGAGCCCTCTCTTATCCACGAGTCTGCTCCAAGGGCCTTTCCTGTGCCCCCAGAAGTGGTAGCATCTGCTGCAGAACCTCCTGGCCCTCCGTTCCGCCTCCACTCCACCACCCTCCTGGACTTTTTGGGTTTTGTTTGGGCGTCTGGAGCCGCCCTTAGAGGGGGGAATATGTAATGTGGGGTTTTGTGTGTTTTGTTTCATGTTCATGTTTTCATGTCTTTTATTTTGTAATTGTTTCATGCTGTCAGTGTCATGCTTCCCTTGCCCTCATGTATCTCTGCCTTGTGTATGTGTCATGTTCTGATTGGTTGTCTTAGTCATGTGTCTTGTTTCCCATTGGTTTGTTCTTGTCATGTGCCCCGCTTGTTTGCTATAAGTAGCCATCATGTTGCCATTGTCTCTCGTCGTGTATTGAAGTTGTAACCCGCTGTCGGTGAGTCTAGTCTGTTTGTGCCTCGTCAAATCTGTTCATGCCTCGTCAAGTCTAGTCTGTGTATATTGTTTGGATCACACTTGTAAATAAAACTGCACTTGAGTTCTTACTATGCTCGCCTTCAGTGGACTGATTCGTTACATACAGAAAGTCTATGTTCATAGAAAAGGTTCTGAATTAATTATGTTCCTGATACCTAATGGGCAAAAGCAATAGGTCAATATTATTAAATTGCAGACAAAGATTTTGAATAGCTAGGTTGGCTTGTACACTATATTGCAAAAAGTATTGGCACACCCCCTTCTAATGAACAGGTTTGTCTACTTTAGTAAATTCCATGAGTACAAATCTTAAAGTCCCCATGAAATCAAAATTAAAGTTTTTTTGGGTGTTAGTATCAATATGTTAGTCTTAAAGGGGTCATATGATGCGATTTCAAGTTTTCCTTTCTCTTTGGAGTGTTACAAGCTGATTGTGCATAGATAAGATCCCTGAAGTTGCAAAGACTAAAGTCTCAAAACCAAAGAGATATTCTTTATCAAAGTTAAGACTCTGCCACGCCCCCCTAAAATGGCTCGTTCTAACACGCCCCCACATATCTACCTCACTATGTGGAAATATTAGCATAATGCCGCCCAAATGTTCACGCAAAGAAAGAAGATAGCCACAATACTTTGGGCAATATAGTGTATGTTTGGTGCGGTAGGGGGCCCAACCTCATATTCTTTCATAGGGCCCAAAATTGCCCTGTTTGTCAGTATGTAAACACAGCATTCATGGGGCATGAAGTGCTTTTCCACCATTGTCCATATTAAATATAACACTCCTATAGGTGGCATTTTAAGGGCCAGATTTACTAACAGCTTGCATCTTGTGTCTTTTGCCATTAAAACAGCACTGTCAGTATTTACTAAAGACACACAGTGTCCCTTTCAGACGCAAAAATTTATGGGAGGAGAGTATTAAAATGAATCACGCAACGTGATTTACTAACGTTTGTGCTTGTCAAAAAGCATGTCTTAAAGCGGGAGGTAACTCTTGGTAGACTGCGCTGGTCATTATGGAAATGAGATGTTGCATCTGTGTTCTTTAATCTCCTCCCATCTGCACTTTTCTTGAATTGCGCTCTAACACTAATTTTCCCTGTTTAGTAAACCTTGCCCTATAAGCATTGATTATTATCATAATTTCATGGAAATAACCAATATGTTGTGTATGACTTGTTTATGGGTAAATAATACAGAGATAAGTTGTATTAAAAATATTGCATTTTTGTATTAATAATAATAATAATCATCATTTTATTCTTATTAAAAACCTGCATATATATATATATATTATTTCATTTAATTTTAACTTTACTTATTCAAACTCACTTGCACACATGGCTACAAATCAAAAAAAGAAAAGAAAAAAAGCATAAACAAGAATTCACATAAAATAAAGAAAGCAACATGGAGACAAACATGAAAAGGCCTTTTGATAAAGCTGAAACATTTTTTAAGGCATTGTGCTCACTGAATCAATAACATCATCTCAAAAAAAAAAAACAGAACATCCAGAGATGTGCAGGTAAACAAATATTTTAAACCATGATCAGTCTGAATATTCAATAATACATAGTAATTCACGCATGCACAGTCGCTCTCTTTCTCTACATTTATTTAGAAAAATTTAATCTTACAGTGATAATTTATTATACTTTAGAATTCTAGATCGTACAACCCACAGATAAGATAACTAACGAAAGTTAACCAACTTACATTGACTTTAATTTTTATCTTTTACAAGGAGAGATAATGAAAGTAAGTTTATTTAGTATGAAGGAACTAATTTAGAAGAATAACACAAAAACATGAACAGGAAAGAGAAGTGAAATGAGAAAGGGGAATGCGAAATGCATTTAAACAAGAAAGTAAAGTAGTGATCTTTCAACTGAATTTACATTACTGCTGAGCTTCACCACCGCATCCAAAAAACAATAAACACATACATATTCCCATTCAAGCACACCAAATCTTGCTCTACATAATATATTGTTTATCTCCCCATTTCTTCTTTCAAAGTGAATAAGTTCTTCATCACTCTGCATTCATCAGAGTTGGAAACCAGCAGAGAGAATGACGGATTGGCTGCACATTTATTCGGTGAGGCTCAGGGATCTCTCTCAATGTATTAAATTTGAAAAAGATGATAGCAAGTTTATCATGGACTCTTTCTCTGCTCCAGACGTGTCATCTTCCTTGTGCTTCGTGCCAAGATTTTTCAGCACGACGTAGCACATTTATTATAGTACATATGCATGCACACACTTCCTCTTCACCTCTTCCATTTCCAATTTTTCCATTTCTTTCCCCATGGCCCTCCAAAAATGTTCGAGTGTCAGAGGTAGAGCAGTGGATGCAGACAGATGACTTTCTGGTCTTGATCATTTAGACTCCAAAGAAAGTAAACAATACAGCAGGTGATCTGCTGATTTTTCATCTATCCAATCGGTGCTAGATTTTTTTTTTCATTTTCACACCTCCCTTTGAAGCTTGAAAAACTCCCCCACCAATATAGCCTCATCTACTCTATCTTAGTAGTGGAAGTTCACTAAAAAACTGCTGTGAAAAACATCAACTCCATTTTGTCTTTCAGCATTATGTGCCTTTTTCTGTTGAAGAATAAAACAGCATTATGTTTAAAAAAAATAAATAAACAATGAAACTTTACATTTTATTTTGTTGAATAATGAAAAGTTCATCTATTTTGCCAGTAAGCCTATAGTGTTCTTTTATTTTCTGTGCAAAGATCTTTTTGATCATTTTATCCAAATGTCCTCAAATAAATGAATACATAATAAATAAAAACATCTTTGCCGGAGCAATATCAAAGGATAAGTTCATCCAAAAATGAAAATTAATTTACTCAACATGGAACACAACAGGAGATGGATGTGGGATGAGAGGATAGTGGCTCTCAAGCGCCAAAAATTGCATAAAAGAATCATAAAAGTGATTCCAAATGAGGAATATTCAGAGTCTTCTGAAACCATACGATAGATTTGTGTCATTATTCACTGAACATCTTCATACAATTCAAATCTGGTGCTTTAATGATACACGCGAGAATGTGTTTACATAAGAGCAGTGCAGTGAGAACGCTGGACACCATATAAAGAGCAGAAGAAAATGCAGACAAACTTCATTGGTTTTTGCTTGCATCATCATAGCATTAAATCTGAATGCAAGGAAGAGAATGAGACCTCAGTATTCACCTTTACAAAATCTCCCCAAAGGCACTTGCCCCACAGCACTGCTCTAATGGCTGATTCGACAACAGATGGACTTTGGGCCATAACACAGGCTATATACTGGATCTATGGTACATCGGAATTTTAGAAGAATTGTCCATATCCTTCACAGTTATGTGAAGGTGAGGAAAAAGTAAATCCAAAGAATTTACGCATCAGCCATGCAAGCAGCAATAAAGCTGAGGTACAGTACGTGCCATTGCTTTAAAGGCCACTCTTCCAAAACAGCTGATGAAATGCATAGTCATCACGCTCTGATTCCTTCTCATTGTTAATTGTCGGAAAAAGTATGTCGATATTTCTTGGAATAAATTTGAATTCAGCCTCAGCTAAACTTGTAACCTTTCAAATGCTAATGAATCTTTTGCTGGGAATACTCAATGCCGCTCTCTTAATCCTAAATGCTTTCATCTCCTTTGAAATATCGTGCACACTACAAGGGAAGCTATGCTTTGCATGGGTGTCACAATGGTAATCAAAAAAGTGAAGTTTTTGTATACCACTTTTCAGAGAAGTGTAGCTGCATCAGATCAGTTCAACAGCATGCAAGAACTTCTATTTGATAATGAATCCCACTGGATTTGTCAACACCATTACAGCATCACAGCTGTTCTTCAAGGTATGCGTCTCTCACAAATATTCACCACGTCCCTGGGGACGGCGTCACACTGAAAGCGCTGACAAAACCTTGCCCTAATCAGACACCTGTAAGACAATCAGAGTTTCTCCTGCAAATGAGGAGAGATGTTTAACAAGGAAAACCTCTGGGAAAGCTCAAGTGTACATAGTGTGATTAGGGTTGACTGCATGTGTGTGTGTGAGTGTGTGTACCTGTTTCTCCCCAAACAGGCAGGTATTCATCTTGCTGGATGTCCAGCATGATCTCCAGGCCGTTGCCTGTGCCTCCTTTCATCGTAGTCCTCAAAGTCTTCCCCTCTTCGGCAGTGTTAAACATGTAACACTTCCCATAACGTGTAAACACCTGGAAAGAGAAAGAGAGAAAGTTTATTAGACTTCATCGATTTTTTTATTCATTGATTCGTAACATGCTGTTGATTTCCACAAACAATAATTTTGACTTACTCTGCATGTGTATAAATGCCATGAAATACAGTTAAATAAATTTTTAATGAAAGCTCAGCAGGCAAATTGGCCCGTTTAAAAGTACTAATGTGAAGCTTGTATATTTTTTATTACATGTATATTTTTACATTTCATTAATAATTTAGCATCAGAAAATTTATATTTATTGAGCTGTAAAGTTGTCTGAATCGTCCTCCTGAGATGGCAATTCTCTCTAGGTCGATATGAACGCATGCGGCTCCAAATAAACAGTTGTTTACATATCACCTGCAATATTTATGTCCTGTCCCTCCTGTGCCTTCCTGGTATTCCTTGCACAGATACCAAAAAATACCTGAGTGACCTTACTTTTTTAACTGGTCATAACAAGAGTTAAAATATACATAACTATAATTGATATATTGGAGCTGGTTGACACAAGGGACGGTAATTATAACATTTGGAGTCTTGTGTTTTTTGTAGCCAAGACTGTAAAGTGTTTACTTTTGAAAAGGTTTGACAGTTACATATTGAAAGATTTAATTGCAGTACTGAAAATTATAGGCTTCAATTTTCATAGGCCTTATAGGCTGCTATTATTTCTGTACGTAGCATAATGTGTTTTGCTTCAATTTATACACACACACGAGTCAGAATAGCTGTGATAATTGGCTGTATGCTCCAGACACAGTACACAGAAATTTGTTTGAAATAACCCAAAATATTACTTTGGATTTCTATCAGAAAATGAAAATTCTGTCACATATGCCATGCACTCACTCTCATATTCTATTTCTTTCTTCTGTGGAAGAAAAAAGAAGGCATTTTGAAGAATGTATTGGCTACTCTTTTTCATGCAGGTAAAATGAACGAAGAGCTGACGTCATGCTTCAAAAGAATGCAAAAGCACCATACAAGTATTATAAAAATGGTCCAGGCAACTATATTCTTCTAAAGTCATGTGATAGCTTTGTGGGAGGAATTTAAGTCATTATTGACTGATCTCCTTCCCCTCTAAAACCAGATAAGTCTTGAGTCACCACAAATAACAAATCATGCAGACTGTTTTTGATTTACTGGAAAGATCAAATTCAAAGGGAAAATTTCACAAATTGGGCACCAATACTTCTCTCATGGCCTCTCATGAATATTTAAAAGGAGAACTAGGGGTGAAGTTGGAAGTGAATTAAACATTTTTTTTGCAAAATTTTGATCTATTTAAAGTCTATTACTCACACAAAGCATTCGCATGGCTTCAGAAGACTTGGAAAGCACAAGTCATATGGACTTTCATACTGTTTTAATGCTGCTTTTTAGCCCTTTTGGAAGCTTGAAAGCTCTAGTCCCCCTACATTATAATTGCCCAGAAAAGAGCAGCCAGTAGATTATCCTTTTGTGTTCCGCAGAAGAAAGACCCTCTACAGGTTTGGAAGGACATGGTGAATTTTTACAAACCCGATTCCAAAAAAGTTAGGACACTGTACAAATTGTGAATAAAAACAGAATGCAATGATGTGGAAGTTTCAAATTTCAATATTTTATTCAGAATACAACATGGATGACATATCAAATGTTTAAACTGAGAAAATGTATCATTTTAAGGGAAAAATAAAATTTCATGGCATCAACACATCTCAAAAAAGTTGGGGCAAGGCCATGTTTACCACTGTGTGGCATCCCCTCTTCTTTTTATAACAGTCTGCAAACGTCTAGGGACTGAGGAGACAAGTTGCTCAAGTTTAGGAATAGGAATGTTGTCCCATTCTTGTCTAATACAGGCTTCTAGTTGCTCAACTATCTTGGGTCTTCTTTGTCGCATCTTCCGCTTTATGATGCGCCAAATGTTTTCTATGGGTGAAAGATCCATGCGTTTAACATCATTCAGTTATAATCGCTGTTCATCAGACTGACAGTCGTATGTGTTATGGGGTTTACATTTCTTGCATTTCTTGCCTTGTTTGTTTGAGGAACATGATTAGAACTGTGCAGCATCTTCATCTTCAGGCAAGCCCTCTGGCTCACCCTTAAAATGCATATATTAGAGAAAATACTCTTTTTTGCTGTGGTTCTGTGAGAGCTAGATAACATCTGATTCCAGGATGCAAAGTGAATCTCTCTGTCACCCTTCAGAGCCCTTCCTCATCAAAGCCCTCGAGGAAAGAGCAATAGAACGACCCCAATGTTCCCTGTTCAGATGACATGCAGGAGAAAGGACGGAGAGCTGGGTGCATTTATATTCATTTACCAATGAAGGTATTTTACACAGCGAACTGAACAGAGACAAATACAACCATTTAAGAGTAATGGAGTGAAAAGGGACCACCACCTTTTACAAAGCCCAAGTCCTTTATCCCTTTCGTTCTGCTTTTAGCTCTAATTTGGGTCTAAACTCGATAGTGAAATGATATGTAATTAAGAGAGGGAGATAAAGCAATTCTCTGCTTGTTTTGATGATAACGTACAAGACATAAATGGAAAAATCTGGATCCCTTGTTATACAGTACATAATGATGATAATTATGATTATGCATGTTTCAGCCCCCCTCAGTGTATAAGAATCGAGATTCTTTAAAGAAAAAGTTCAACCAAAAATGAAAATGTAAAATAATTTACTCAACCTCAAGTCATTCCAAACCTACATTCTTTTTTTTTTCGTCTGTGAAACACCATATTGTATTTTTTATTTTTATTTTTATTTTTTGTGGTCCATACAGTTAATGTTGTTTCGGACCCCATTTACTTTCATTGTGCAAGCAAAAACAGTTGAAGCATTCTCCCACAAAAGAAAATAAGCCAATACAGGTTTGAAACAACAAGAGGGTGAGTACATGATGAAAGAATTTTTATTTTTTAGGTGAACTAACCTTTAAGCACAGAGAGGTGTACTATATTTCTCTACCAGAGGTGCAATCCACTGACTGAAAAGCAAAAATGTTGAAAGATTTTGGTCTTCGCTCGAACATCAGCATGAAACTGTGTTTGGAAACCTGCTTTGAAACTGCATCTTTCCAAGGATTGGTGTGCAGAACGCTGATCTAAGATCTCTGAAAGAGCTGCTTCTATCTAGTGTAGGAGTTTGATGGATGGATGAATGATTGAGAAGGTTTCTCCTTACAGCATGTCTGTACACACACACACACACACATGGACGTTCAAGATAAATCACCATAGCCTGCAGCTGCCAGACCACAGCCCACAAAATCGACATGAATATTCAGTCTCATCCTTCATGCCTGAGCTAAGTGCTTGCAGAGATCACCCTTTAAAGATAGAGAGAGAGAGTAATATACAGTCCTCATTTCCTGCAATGACTGACAGCTTTACTTCTTTTTCTTGTTCTCTGTTTCAAATTAAATTACATTTCAACTGACAAGGCAAACAGAAGCAAGGATTTCCACTCAAGATAACTTGCGGCTTATTAAATAGGAACCAGCAACTTAAAGCCATCTTCCGTCATAAAACCAAAGATGTCTCTTTAGAACCAGACCATCCGTTTAGGATTTAAGCCATACAGCTCTGACAATGAGCTAATGACGTAACAATTTCATCTAAAAACTCAAACCACCTTAATAAAAGATGCAATTTAAAGGTGGCTGCTAATCGCTGTGTTACTAAATGAGGTTTTAGGAGGAGTTAACCAAAGACTTAGCATCCTAAAATGACATCTGCAAAAATTTCTCACAGAATACTGATATAGCTACAAATCACACAAATACATATCACCCTTTAAAAACAGTCAATAAGCCATTATGAATGCTGTTGTTTGGAATAAAGACCTTGTTGGTGCACTTGACCTTGTCATTACCACTTAGTGCCTAGCATGTTAACGTCAAAGTCATTGTAAACATGCCAATAGTCGTTTGCTGTTATTGACCAAGGATGTTTCTCTGAACTAACAGCAAACAGCAAAACATTTGTGAATGCTTGATTTGAGCACACATGCCAAATACTTTCTTAATAGCCTCTAAAACACTTGAAAAAATCTTCCATTAGTACTGTAATTTGATGCTTTTATGTCAAGACAAGACAACTTCTGTTACCTCAAGGTTAGCAGGTTACTGTTAAAACACAGGATGTTACGAAACACATACATTCACTTTCAATTAACTTGCATCTCATAGCAAAGTCACATTTGTGACAACTTCAGAAGCGTGTGTTTCGTTGTGGATGTTGGTGTACAAGCGACCTTTGTGAGCTAAATCAAACTCATTAGCTGGTTTGTGCGCATCTGCGAACACAAACAAAATCTCAGTAAACATTCAAAGAAAGGAAGCAGTTTGAGTGTTCTAGAACAAAATGGCATGACCTGGTTTGAGTGATGCCCATTGCTTTTAATGACACAGACAGAGACGCTATTAGCGAAGGTGCTTGTGAGATATGGCTGTAGGCAAGAGAAGCTTGGCTGTGGCAGGGCTCCTTTGACAGGTGAATGTGCGACGAGTCGACCGTAAGAACATGCTGACGAGGAATACATTATGATAATCATATTTAGGGAAAGCAGTAGGAGATAAAGCACAACTTGATGTTCACAAAAGGTCACGCTCATTTACATCTAGTTGTTTAGCTGCTCTCTCTCGCACGTTCAAGGTTTTGATTAAGAATATAGATGTATGAATAAATCAGGTTAATCTGAATATTTATGGGGTCTGTGATTATTTGGAGTGGTCTGAAACATCTTCTCGACTGCTAACTACTGTGTTAACGGAGCATGATATGAACACTCCCCGTAGAGCTGATCACCTTGTATTCGCACCCGCTATTTTTTTATTTACTGACTGATAATTCAGTTTGTAGATCGGCTCTCTGACTGACAGGGTATTTATCACTGAAACTGTGAAAATTAAGACTACCCCAAGGGTTTTAAACCTGCAGAGAAAAATGTGGTCTTTTCTGCAAATGTTCACACTAAGTAAAGTCTTC